CTGATCTGCTGCAGTTTAGCTCAGCAACCTCTATGGGTGTGTCCAGACAAGCCCGCATGTGCCTCTTGCAGCATCTCAGACTCCTGTGAGATGTTGCAAGAGGCACATATGGGAACGACAAAATGTTTCCTGAGCTGCAAATTTGCAGTGTGAGGGTAAAATTAAACCCCTGGATATCCAGGGGTCAAAAAAATCCACAGACAAAAAGTGAAGGGCAGGTCATGGTCCCAGAGGCAACAGGAGGCTGGGTCCTCCACACAGACTCTCTGGCTGCCAGACACTCTACCAGTGCAGGGCAGGCAGCGTGCCAGCAGCAGGGAGCTGGACCGGGGACCAGTGCCAGTAAGTAAAGGGTCGGTGGGGGGAAGGGACCATGGGGGGGGACCCCCACCCAATCCTTTAGACTGGACATTAGGAAGAACTTCTTCACAGTTTGAGTGGCCAAGGTCTGGAATGGGCTCCCAAGGGAGGTGGTGCTCTCCCCTACCCTGGGGGTCTTCAAGAGGAGGTTGGATATGCATCTAGCTGGGGTCATCTAGACCCAGCACTCTTTCCTGCCTATGCAGGGGGTTGGACTCGATAATCTATTGAGGTCCCTTCTGACCCTAACATCTATGAATCTATGATCTCTGCCCTGCCTGGTCCCAACCCCTGCCTGAGCCCTGTCCCACCTGGCCCCATCCCCTTCCTGACAAAAAATGCGGCACTTCCCGGCCATTCCAGCTGCTGTTGGGGGTCACTGGGGCCCTCTCCTGCACAGCGGGGCTGGGTGACAGCCCTAGTGGCCTCAGCCTGGGGCCTACTGCCCCCCTCTGCCCCAAGCTGCATGGGTTGGGGGGGAGGGCTCTGCCAGGAGGCCCCGGAGCTCCCCCAGCCCCTGCTCCTGGGGTGAAGAGACTAGGCCAAGAGACTGGCAGACTGATCCTGGGGCAGAAGTAGTAAGTTGAGGAGGAAAGGGGAGACTGGTATGACAAAGAGCCAGGGTGTGATGAGAGACTGGGACTTGAGCAAGGTGTTGGCAAGGAAGAAGGAGGCTGAAACTGTTTGAGGATCTGGATGAGGAAGAATTCTGAGGGAGGGAGACAGGGCCTGAAATCCAGTGGGACAAGGAACATGGGTTGAGAGATACTAACCGGGAGGTCAGAGTGGAAGAAAATGACAGATTGGATGAGGAGTTGGGACAGGGGGATAAGGCTGATCAAGGAGACTGGGGACTAAGATGAGAAGCCCGTGGAGTAAAGACAAGGTATGTGAGAAAAATGGGCTTGGGTTGAGGAGCCTGGGATTGGACTGGGACTGGGACAGGTTGAAGAGGACTAGAGCAGGAGGTATTAATCTTAGTGGGAATAAGCAGATGAGTATGTGCCCACTAAAGCACATTCCTTTCCAGATATTGGAATGGAATTTAAGATCCCCAAGTCTCACGATTCCTCTGTTGTCAATAAATACTTGTGAAACCTACACAGATGGGCAAGTGACCCATTCCTTATTAGTGACAGTCCTCCTAAAAGGTAACTCTCTACTGCTATTGATCACTTTCCTACATCAAGTGACAGAGTCCTTATGCGGTAGATCTGACTTTGATGATGGATCATACCCATATTAATATGATGCCACATGATGAAATTGCTGTTCTTCAACTTTTTTTACTCTGTAGGGGATTACTGGTACACACAAAATACATTAAAAGTACATTATTAAGGTTGCAAAGTCAAGCATTCAGAAAGTGCAAAATGACAATTAAGGTTGCCTGTGCAACCCCTGTAGACACTGGAAGGAGCATAGTGAATGGAAGCGGATTTCAGGAACAGAAAGGAGGGGCTCATGAGTATAGAAAGGGAATGCTGCCCTGGAGAAATGGCTTAAACACTGAGACAGAGTTCCTATGTTGTGTCAAGAAAACCATGCCAACCAAACTTACATTTGGTAGGTAATTCCTCATTTCCTGGGTGCCTACCTTGATCTGCTATGATGTGATTTGTACTGAGAAAAATCCAATCCAAAACATTTTATATTAGTGGGTACTTTTAAGGTCAAAGAATAGGGGAACCTTAGTTCCTTATCTATATAGTGGGAGTAATATTATCCTGCCATCTCACAATGGCCTTATGAAAATTATTTTTTAAGCACTTAGATACTCTGGTGCTGATCACCATAGAAAAGGAAGAGGGAACTAATAATTGGGTCTTCAGGACATGTTTTGAATAATGTACCATAAATAATGCATAGGGAAACAGTGCACAAGATTAAACAAAATACAGGCAGTCCTCACACTTATGGTGGGTTATGTTATTGGAAAAGGCATTATAAGTCAAAATGATGTAAGTCGAATCTGATTTTCCCATAGAAACAATGTTATAATAAGGGGTTATGTTCTTGACCAAGGGCCTGATGCCCAACTTTTTATAGAAATGACCATAAACACCATAATTAAATCAACTATTTATTCAACTATAAATGATATACACTGTACAGTACAAAGCTTTCTAAAATGCAATGCAGTAACTAATCACATAACATTTTATTTAATCAGAAGACCATGGGCCAGACACAATCGGCTGATAGAACTGGAAGGGAGGCACTGGGGCGGCATGGAATTGAAGGCAAGCTCCTCAGTCCTCATGTGGGGCAGGCAGTGGCTCCTCCCTGAGGTGAGGCGAGGCGAGGTGAGGCGAGGGCAGGGCTGGAGACTGGCATAGGATCCGCTGGCTCCAGGAAACCGCTCCACTCCCCAGCCCTGATGCCACGTGCCTCCTCGCTCCCCGAGGTGATGGAGTTCCCTGGAGCTGGCAGAGTCCGTGCCAACCCCCAGCCCCCGTCCCTGCCTTGTTGTGCCTCTGGGAGCAGAGGCACATGGCATCGGGGGTTGGAAGCGGAGCAGTTCCCCGGCGCCATCCCCAGCTCCAGCCCCCATCCCCATCTTGCCTCCGGGAGTACATGGCCTTGGGGAGGAGCTGATGCCTGAGCTTACCTCCAATAAGTGTCCTACACCAGCCCCAGTGCCTCCACCGTGCTCCATGCCCAGCTCATTGCCTGCCGTAAGCATGAGGATCTGGCACCATAAATAATGATGGGTGTAAATGGCGGAGTGCTGCAAGTGTGAATCACCGCAAATTGAAATGCTGCAAGTCGAGGACTGCCTGTACTGAATAGCTGTTGATTACCATATTTGCTTGTATGCCCTATAGCCCCAAATAAGATGTACTTTGTTTAGGGAAGACAGAATGAAAGTTTTTTCCAGTCATGGCTGAATTCTGGCCACAAGGAGCAGGGGCAGAGTCCACGCATCAGCCTTACTCACCCTCCCATTCCTGCTCAGCTAAAAGCTAGAGTTTAACTAAATTGCAAGAGTTTTAAGCTGAACAGTTACATTTAGCAGTGGCGGAGACAAGGGCTATGTACACGCATTCAAATAATATAATTCCCCCCGGTTTGTTCTCTTGGTAAAAACACTTACCCACCACAGCATGTACAGACATTCACCTTCCCATGAGGTGATTTAACTCTGGTTTTTCTCAGGTTATTTTTCTCTTGAGTGGCCAGTTTCACTCTCGGAGAAAAAATCTGAACATCCATATATTTAGGATTTCTCCTGGGAGAGCAGTAACTCTCCCAGGAAAAACTGAATGTCTGTACAAAGCCAAGGGTAAATAGCTTGGCTGAGCAGCAGACTCCCCCTTCCTGCATGCGGCCCCCTCCTGGAAGACATTCCAGTGCCCCATGCCTCCATTCCCGTATAACTACCAGCTTCTTCACTTCAAACGGGGTGTCAAACATACGGCTCATGGGCTGTGTCCAGTCTGCCAAGATACTTGTGGGCCATGAAATTTCAAGGTAGGGCCCGCTGCAGAATTTGGGGCCCTAGTAGAAATAGCTGTATGTGGCAGGGGACCAAGTGAAGGCTGTACAATGCAGCCCTGCAGGTGCTTGCATTCCCCTACCATGGCAAGCTTCCACTTGGCCTGCTGCTTGGTACACTGCTGTGGCAGTTGCTGCTGCCATTGCTGCAGTAACTACAGTTGCTGCCCTGTGACCCAGACCAAATCAAGTTTATAAGTGCTTGCAGTCCAGATCTGGCCTCAGACCCAAGATAAAATTAACACCTCGCTTAAAACTTACTTATGCACAAAATTGCAGTGTATGTGAATACATAATGCATGTGAAGAGCATGCACTAATGCAGGGGTTGTCAACCAGGGGTACCCAAGACAGCCCTAGGGAATACATGGGGGCAGGCAGGGACAGAGTACTGCCATGCAGCATCCTGTGCTGCCACTGCCTGCCCAGCTGGATGTGGGGGAAGCTTGCATGGAGTAGCTGCTCCCACTCTGCATCTGGCCACTTGCCCCCTCCACTTCCTGCTTGGCATCCAGCTGCGTGCCACCCCCTTGCTCAGTGGCCAGGGGTACACTGCTCCACATCTGGCTGCCGGGGAGGTGGGTACTATGATGCAAAAAGGTTGAAAACCTGTATTAATGGATTGATGCCAACTTCCGGTTTGCTATAAGTCTGTTTGACTGAACCCAGTTTCTAAAATATGTAAAAACTTGTATCCTGAGGGCTTTGCCCAAGCACAAAGATTCTGCTTAATTAGGTCCAATTGCAAGAGTAAAACTGAATTGCAAGCTCTTTAATAGCAGTCTGGGATATCAGCACTTGCCACAATTGTTCTGGTTTAGGTACTTGGTGTACTATCAGAGATATGGTACGATTCTTAGAGAGCACTCTCTCTTAGTTATATATAACTATATATTGACTTTCCAAAATAGCCAGCTCTAAATTGGACATTAAAGCTAAATATGTATTAAGCACTATAAACTGTTAATTCATTCTTAAACACATTAAACATTTTAGATAGTATAAACACATCTGCAGAAAAAAATCATGCAATTTAACACTGCCAAAAAACTAAGAGCCCCTTAATTAAAGCCCCTACTTTTCTGTAATTTACTATGAATTAAAGCAGCACCTTCTTTCCAGAAAGGACACATACACAACTCCTAAGGATTATCTATTTGTTTATTTTAGTTCAGTTAAAACAAACATACAATGTTTCATTGAAACTGTGTAGCACTCTGCCAACAATTGTAGTTGCATTGTTGTTCTCTAACAATACAGTGGATCTATACAATATATACAAACATGTACCATAGGATACCTGCATATGAAGTAGCTAATGCATTTGGGAAATTGTCTTATCTGAGAAGAATCGGAATTATGCATTTTTATGGACCAAAATGACTCGTGTTTATTGCAACATATACATTCATAATAAATAAAGTCTTTGATGCTAGCATACTCTTACACACCTTGTGTAATAAAATTTTCCATTTTTAAAGCACGAATCTTCTGTAACCCCCCACCCAAAAAGCAACAAAAAAACCCAACCAACGTTCCTTTGATAGGTCTTACACAGATGTAAAATGGGAATGGTTTATTGAAGCAATGTGATGATCAGCAATGACAGAAATATATACATAAACCCGAAGTCCCAAACCTATTATATACAGTATACTTACAGTATATACATACACATACAATTTATTTACATAGTCTATCATAAATATTGAAAAATAGGTTTAGCTTTAACAGATTAATGCTCTATAAATAACATGTTACAGTTATGACTGAAATATCATGGAAGACAGCAATGAAAAATGAGGTGATGAAACAGTGGTTTAATACTGAAGCTGCTCATTTTAGGTTGTATGTTGTTAATGAACCTTGAAGCAGACAGATTTACAAAACCAAACCAAACAAACCAACCAACCATATATTGGAGAAAAATCTAGCCAAGTGGTACTCAACTGTAATAGCTGGAGAACTAAATGTCAGACACTTGCTGCATTAGGACTCAAAAAGTATTGATACAACATGATAAGATGCTATCACGAAAACATCTACATCTCATCTCCCCTCTGCTTCTGAGGGGAACCGAGAGATCTCTCTCTTTTACCCTCTTGCTCTTTTATTGTTTCAGAGAAAGAAAAATGTCAATTTTTCACTCCCTTTGATGCTGGATATGTAATCTCTTCATCCCCTGCATCCTACAAGTTACATGGAGGGAGGGCATTTTAAATCTTCCTCCATATTTCCATGTTTATAGGGAGCAGGAAGAAAAATATTCTTAGCACCAAGACATTTGCTCAGCACTCCTGCACAGGCATATCAGGCAGCATGTATAATTGATGAGAGTATGATGTTCACTCTAATAGTAGGAGAAGCACTGATGAGGTCTAACATTGCAGGCTGAGAACCACTGGACTAATCATACAAGCTAGATAAGAGAAATGAAGCTTATTATACTTGTATGCTATGGATGTGGTCATTAGTTGTTGTAGTCATGTACAAGTATAAACAGACGACAACATCTGCAATTTTTCCATAAAAGGCTGGACAAAGATAAATATCATCTGCCAAACAGTGACTATTACCTAGAATTAATCCCGGTTAATTTTACAAGAATAGATCTTCAGTGCTGCTAATTCAACTGATTATATGCCATTATTTGTTCCCTCTGACACAACTCTAAATGGAATTTCACTGATCATATTTTAAAAACATCATGCCAGATAAAAATAGCTAAACACAGTATCATGACTATCTCTTTAATAAGCTCTGTCTGGGTTTTCAAATCCATCATAATGGTGCTTGAAAACCTGTTGGTAAATCAAGTGTGCTCTTAAATGCAAGTACCATTTCTCTTCAATCTGGGATAAGGAAGAAAGCAAACATGCAAGAGAAACAAAACAGCTAATTACAACCATACAGCACCTATTTCCTTAGCTACCTGATTAGGTTCCAAAAATGTATCTATTTTTGAAGCAAAGTGTATGAGATGACAATCCAGTCCATGAGGAAATTTAATACTACTGGACAGCGTGTTGCATGAGATATCCCAGTTGCCCATGTGAAGAGAATTTGTACTGAGCACCAAGTATTGGTGCAGTTTGTGGATTAGACTTTTAGTATGGACAAAAACAGGAACAAAAATCATCAAGTAATTAAAAATCCAATACTGGATGAATAATTTAAGAAATACTGTACAGTTTGTAAATACTGTACAATTAGTAAACTATAGCAGGACCTCTTTATAATAGTGTACGTCTGATGGTCAAAGGTTGACCAAAAACAAAAACACTCCACAAAACCCAAAGCACAGCTATAATTGACAATACCATTATTAAGCAGTACTCCTCATTAAACTCAATGAAGAGTTCTGTCTATCAATGACATGATATGACCCAGTATGATTTAGTAAACAGCTATAGCCGAAAAGAAAAAAAAAAAAACCCTGTTTTACCCAATTGCACTATTGAGTACCTCAAGAAGGGAAATATCAACATCTTTACCAAAAAAATTTCTCTATGTTTATTATAGAAAAAAAAGTTTCTAACGCCATCCATTTCCAATAGCCTAATTTAAAAAAAATAAATAAAAGCCTGAAAATTTGAGTTACATTACCATTTTTTGAGAATATAAATAGTATATTTAAATTTGGTATGCTGACTTAGGACATCAAGAATGGACTTGTTTAATTAACTGTTGTAATAGAAAGAGTTCTCAGTGAAATTCAGTTAATCAACAATAGCAGACTGACAAAAAAGCTGGGACATTGATTAATTTAACAAGTTATTTCTAATGGCCAAAATAAGCAAAAAACCCAAATCAAAACAAAATAAAAACCTAATTATGCCCCTATAGAAAGGCAAGCTGTATTAAATTTAGAATGCAGACTAAATAGCTTTATATGATTTTGTAAATTTTTGGGATAGTTTTATTTTTTTTAAAAAAAAAAAGTTCTCTTAAAGTCAAAATAGTGCTTTGAGGTCCATAAGAATTTTTGGTACAAAAAAATAATAGTGTTCTCTCTCTCTCATTGGTTATTTAAAACACTTTGCTGTAAATTAAGAGTTATTTCTCACATCAAATAGTTCCATTAGGCACATTCAAGTAAAATAAAATATCCAAGTAACAATGACAAAAGCCAAACATGGCTTGATAAAAGTCTACAGAGAGTTCTGTCCATTCTGTGGAATGGAATAATATTGTCACTTCCCTCAGCCAGAGACTCATGCGGTTTGGTGTTAAGTTTTCCATCATGCAGAATAGTTTCTTTTAAAGAGTTCACTTATTCTACAGTCAGAAGAACCAGCATTGAAGAATCTGCATTTTAAAGGAAGCAAACTTAGGTGATTTTCATTCTCAGATATTTGAGTGAACACTGGCATCTGAAGTGGAGTATTTGATATTAAATCAAGACAGTTAATGTCCATCAGATCCAGAATTGTGGGTCCAATCTAGAATAATCAAGGTCATACATCCAGTCATCACAAGTATGCCAGCAAGCAGGAAGAGTATAGCCTGTAAAGAGACAATACAAAAATGTATTTCAGCTTTTTTTCTTAAATTTTTATGGAGCAATAATTATATGTTATAAACTGGTAAATAAATACTTGCCCCAAGGAGCGTAAGATTTAAAATAGTTAAGGAATGTTACACTATGTAGCGGGATAAACGAATTATTTTCATATGACTTGGTTCCGTTTTAAAGCCAGTCATACTCTCAGTTGATATCAAGTACTAATATGAATGGAACTGTACAAACAAGCCTGATTCTGGGCCAGAACATCTAAGATCATAGGCAACAAAATCAAGTGGAGAGGCCCAAATTATCAAGTAGAGGTTAGATCATGCTTCACTCAAATTTTTGTACCACTTTTGAATAAGCATTTGAGGGTAGACATTGAGGCTATAGTTTAAAACACTGAACAGATATTCTGGTGAACACAATTAACTAAATACTGTTTGCAATGAGATGCTTGTATATTTACATTGTTCCTGCCAAGATAGATAAAATGTGCTCCATTGCTACTAATGGGCGCTGACAGACATGAAAAAAACCCAACCAACTAGTGCTTTACCAGAAAAGGCAGTGCATTATTTTGACTCAGTTCCACGGCACCTGTATAGATCGGGTGCTTCAGCAGGGCTTTTTGATGCTTCCATCTAAATCTGATTCAATCAGCTATTTAGCTAAAGTGCCAAAAAGCCCTGCTAAAGCATCCAATCTATAGATGTTGGGCAAACTGGGTACAACTAACACAATGTCTCTTTTGGGCATGTGATGTACTCAGTGTGGCGGCACATCAAGTTTAAAGCAAAGCACCTTTTTTTTTTTTAAAAAACACATCTGTAAGCAGTCAGTGTGGCTGGTCAGTAATGGTGCAACTAAAAGAGTTTAAATTGGGTATAGCTCTTGTTCCAAGTTACTGGATATATTAGTATAATATATTATCTAAACTGCAATATCTATACAATGATAGGTAATATATTATACTAATATACAACAGATAGATAGGTAATATATACTAGATAGAGGCAAAACACATGGCATTAACTGCCTCTCAGACACTCAGTAGCAGGGGGGGAGAGAAGCGGGTTGGGAAGCGCAGCAGAAAGAGCAAGACTAAAAGGAGCCACTGTGCCATGAACTTCTGCTAAGGTTTACATAGGTCTTGGACATTAGGAAGAACTTCTTCACAGTTAGAGTGGCCAAGGTCTGGAACGGGCTCCCAAGGGAGGTGGTGCTCTCCCCTAGCCTGGGGGTATTCCAGAGGAGGCTGGATATGCATCTAGCTGGGGTCATCTAGACCCAGCACTCTTCCCTGCCTATGCAGGGGGTCGGACTCGATGATCTATTGAGGTCCCTTCCGACCCTAACATCTATGAATCTAATAATTTGTTCTCATCAGCACAGTGACCAAAAATGGAGCATGATCACTCTAAGCAAGAGGGAAAAAAGTTGAGAGAGTCACCAGGATGCTCTGCAGATAGGCCTCCATAGTGGTTCTCTTTTCAATTACAACAGCCTATGAGCCTACAGTTTGTTAATAAAAAATAGTGGAAACAACTCTTGACTGCCTATTCAAAAAAAAAAAAATTACCAAAATTCTGAAATCTTTAGATTATATAGAAACAAACTAAAACCCTTGCTCTTAATTAGAGAATGACTAAACTTTAGCATGAATGTACTTTTTGATACATACCCCAATCTTCTGGACTGATTTAACTGGTTCTTTCTTGACAAGTTTAATATAGAATGCAGAAGGAAGTATAAAGATCAGCATGGCAGCAGCTGAGGCACCTGTAGTTTAAAATATTCAAAGTTTACAGAAATGAGTGAATCTTGTTTCTTAAGTCATTTAAATAATTTTTCCAATTATTTTGAGGGGGGGAGGGGAGGGAGAGAAACTCAGACGCAATATAGGTAATTCTTACCAATGAATCCAAATATATCTCGAATTGTTGGGACAAAGATGACAAGGACATTGGTAAACACCAAAAGAGATACAGTAATCAAACAGTGACGCACCCAACTGAACTCTTTGCTGGCACATAGCAACTGGGTGATTGAACTGCGGATCTACAGTAGTAATAATAAAAAAAGAGAGACATGATTTGTCACAAAAAAAGTCCTTAAAATGAAACTTTCAGCTTAATTGCTTGAAAATGTTACCAATTGTTGCCCAACCACCTGAAGATTACTAGAACTAAAAGTTAAGAGAATAATACTGTTTTCCCCACTTTTCTTTATCTTTGATAGATCTTTATGCATATTTCATTTAAGATTTGTATATTACTTATTTAGGTTTTAAACACAGCAACACATGGAAGAAAAATACTACATGAACAAACAAAATAGAATGGGGGGGGACTACAAGCAGATAAAGTACCCACTTATATAACTTTTGAAGTCAATGGTGTAAAGTTTCAGTAAAAACAGTTAATGTATACCAACCAATAAAAAAAAAAAAATCTGCAATACTTTCAAATGGGTATTTTTCCCACCTCAGTTTCACAATTAAATCAGACTATGTAACGCTGAAAAAGTGTATGGGAAAAATGAGGGATTACCATAACTGATGCCTACTATCTATGGGTCTTATTCTTTTCAGTTAAATGTATACAAAATTATTAAAAGTGACTTATGTAACAAGTTTTTAAGTTAAAGAAGACAAAAACAACTAAGAAATAAGTGAGAAAAAAAATGGCAGTTGCTTTTTTTTTTAAAAAACAATTATTATGCACCTGGAGGAGGAGGAGGGGGAAAGGAGAGCCAATTACTAACTTAAATGAAAGTACAAAATGCATTCTTATTGTAGTAAAAAAAAAAAAAACTACTTACTGGGAAGATAACTACAGGAACAGTGAGAGTCACAGCTAAAAGCACAGCTAGACGCACAATAAGAAGGACAACATCTGTACCCAGGACTTCAGAGTAAGTATGAAGCAATTCTGGCTCCACATTTCCTGTAGAGGGAAAAAAAAAATAGCATTTTAAATCAGCTGTAATGAATACACTCCAGACCAAAAAAAAAAAAAAAAAAAAAAAAAAAAAAAAAAAAAAAAAAAAAAAAAAAAAAAAAAAAAAAAATCACTGCATGTAACAGGAATAGAATTCCTTAGAAATGAAGCAAAACAATCCCCTTCCCTCATCAATCTAAACTGAATTCAAGCTTCAAATGGTGTTGCATCAGCTTATCTCTGTGTGGGCTTGTGAAATAGGAAACAACGGAAGAACAAGACCTTCCTTCCCCCACCATTTTACTCACAGGAGTACTCTCCAGCTAGCCCAAATGTTGTTTTGTTACCTACTGACCTTCACTGATTTTGCATGGTTTAAAACAAATTAAGTCCCCAGTTATCAGAATCAGGTAATGTTAAGAAAACTCTTGAAGCCAAATTGTTTTTAGTTATTAATTTCTGGCAGTCTACATTCATATGGTGACGTATGTAAATAAGGGCTGAATTAAGGATAAAAAGAGTACAGGGAAATTAGTAAAAAGGGAAAACAGAGAGAGAAATAAGGAAGTTTTGTGAACAAAATTAGTGGCCAGCAAGACATCAGAAAGCTTATTCTCTTACTGAGACCATATTTCTGCTTGGAATCATAAATTCCCTTTTATAAAATGCATCTCCAATATGAAAAACTCAAAGCCTTTTACATACACATATGAATAATCAACAGGTCTCAGCCACTAAAAGATTTTCTGCATTTTTTTTTTTTATATGGATAAACTTAGGCACAAAAGAGGAAAGGATTTGCCCAAGATAAAGCACGTGTCGACAAGAATTTAATTCTTGAATTCCAGGCTTGTGCTTTAGCCAAAATCTTTGAGTTTATTTTTATACGTGCACATACATATAACACGTTCAGTAAAAACCAAATTTGCTTAATTAAAAAACAAACAAGCCAACCAAAAGAAACCCCCCCAAAAAACACATTTTTTTCTTATTTCTAGAGACACGTTTCATTTAAAAATAAAATAGAGGAGGTAAATGCTCACCATAAAATGTCAGGTATCCAAAAAGAGCAGCCAATAAATACATGAGAAACATGGCAAAGAAGGAAACATTGGATACTTTCATCATTCTTCTTCGGCTTCGGCTAGTAAAAGCAGAAAAATCAAATATTAATACCAGTGAAAACAGTTAAAGTTACGTACAGTAAATTTCTTTAACCATATGCAATATTTACCCTTTCAGCTCTTCGTAAATAGGAAGAATGGCAGGATGACAGACAAACGAAAAAGTCAAGATTGGTACAGCATAGACAGTCTGAAAAACAAATATACTTTATTAACATCTTGGTAGAGATGACAAATTTATCTTCATAATATTTATTAGTAAATTCCTACTTTGTATGTTGTTTGCTCTGTTTATCACAAACTCTGTTTCATCTCAATTTACTGATTAAAACCCCCATCTACTTTAAGACTTTCTTTCATTAACATTAAAACTAAATCTCAGCTTTCACTTTGTTCTTTAAGACCCCAATTCTGAGAAGTCTGGAGCATCCTTAAATCCCACTAAAACAGGCTGTAGTTGAGTGTATTCTTCATCTTTCAAGAAGTGCTACACACCATTCAGGATTAAATATTCAGTCTGTGATCTTGAATACTTTTATTTACAAGAAAATTCTCTCTCAAATGGGTAGTTCTAGTGAAGCTGTGGGAAAATTCATACTACAGTAAAAGCTTTGTTATCTGGCACTCATGGGGAATTGAAAGGCCTGAACAGGCATCTTTGCCTGTTCGGGCTGCTGCTTCTCCTGCCGTGTTCAGGGCATCATCACTCCTCCTGCAGGCCCGGAGGGACAGGGAGGCGGGTCCCGTGCAGGCTGCTTTGCCCTGGACTGCGGGGGGCTCAGTGAAACCAGAAGTGGTGTGGTGGGCACTTTCGGTTTCACTTTACCTTACAAGCTGGCATGCCGGTTGATAGAATGTGCCAGCGTGTAAGGTGCTGGTTAACGGAGCTTTTACTGTATTACAGATTTTGAAGTCAGTGGAGATTTCCCATCAGTGGAGTTTTGTAAGCCTCCCTAGCAAGTGGTATAAGACCAACTTGCTGGGGAGGTTCACAAAAAAAGTGCAACTTAATCTGATAAATTTAATCTTTAAATGCTTTCCTGAACAGAGACAGGATTGCTTATAGGCCTAATCCTGTTGAGTGCTTTCCTAATTTGGGGCCTTCACCATGAGTGTTACTACTCTCTCTCAAGAAAGGCTGGACCCCTCCAGCTCTCTTTGAACTCAACAGGAAATCTGGAAGAAGTTCAGTACCCTGCAGAACAGGGCATATGTCCCCTCAGAACTGGGGGTGGGGGGGAGAAATTATCCCATCTCTATTTAAACGTATATGCCTTTAAGAAGAGTGAAATTAATTTGTAGTTACCTGCGAGTTGACGATGAAATATTTTGGTGTACACATGTCATCACTAGTGAAGTTTTGAACAACTGTGGTTGCAACAGTTGCAGCAATTGCTGAATGCGTCACTGTGCCATTCAGTGTTGTGTTCACCAGGTCATGGTCCATAGGACAAGGGATCTGGAACTTTTTCCAAATTACCTAAAAAGGAAGACCATATTACATTAATTGATACAATACAATAAAGCTTTCCAGACACCATATGTAATCCTATTTGGAAGTATAGCATTATAAGTGTTGCACAACTATAGAGAAATTATACTTACAACAATAAGAAAGAAGACCATACACAGTAAGGAAAAGCCACTTGTATATCCTAAATATCCTGTATTCAAGAAAAAGAAAACAACATCTTAATTTTGGTATAAGTATGCATGTTTTTGCAAATACAATGCATTTCAACCCTTGGCCTGCAGACCCATGTAATCTGGCCTATGGGTCTCCCCATGCATAGGGAAATTCAATGGTGGGGGAATGGTAGTGGCAATTAACACTACCAATGCTCCCCTGCTGCCAAATTTGCAAGCCCCATTGGTTGGATGGGCCCCATTTCTGTGTGGCTTGATCAAGTTGGGGCCCAATGCAGTCACATGGAAGAACAGCCAGGCAGGGCCTAATGTAACTATACTGGGTCCATGGATCAGATCTGGCTTGTAGACGGACCTGGCACTCCTCATCTGGTTCTCAGGCTGAAGAAGGCCAGGCACCACTGGTCTAAGAACGTTATTAAGACAGACAAAGTTCTCACAAACTTGTTTTGGACTGCCATTTTTCTCAGTTTAAAAACATTTAGATGTAGTAGGGACATAATTCATATTCTCCATTTTCTCAATCCACCTACCAAAATTTTACATTCAAAACAGTGGTCTCTTTCCACTGTTTAAAGACTTTATAATCAATGCCATGAGGGCTCACAATTTTTATAAAAGTAGAAACTTAGCTAACATATTAGAAATAGTTATGGGACTGTACTTTATTTCCTTAAGTGCAATTTGTAATGTTTTAGTATTTCTTTCTTTCTTAATATTTGGTTCATGTGCTTACCAACAAAGAGCTGTGTAGTTTACTCTGAGTGAGCATCTCAGTCATAAGCAAAGTTCTAACTTATTTTTATTCATCTAAATATCATGAAAGTCAAACCAACCCACAACCTGCCCTTTACTGAACCATACACACCCACACACTCATCACTGAAATGCAGGCACTTGTGAAAGGCTGTAGATAGTAATACTGTTTAAGACATAGCATGAAAAAGATCATTTCCAATTTAAAACTGCTGGCAGAATTTAGCTAACTAAATGGAATTTGCCCACAACACTAGGGCTCCCATCCCCATCTTGCTGGAGTGCCATGTGATTACTGATGGTAACAGAAGGAAACAGAATTCTGCCCCACGTGCCCAAATGGTAGTTACTCAGCTGTGTAATGGACATTTTTTGCAGTATTGCAGTTTGTGATCCTACTCCATGTACTGTGAGAATGCAAGCATCCACATGGCCACATAGGCATGTGGCTCTGCATGCAAAACAATTAAGTGCACAAACTGTGACCTGGCAAACACAAAAGGGACGCAGGCCCATGTTTTAGTTCAACAGCTCAATTGTTAAACACTCATTCAGGAAGTAGGAGGCTAGCATGGCCTACCACCTGGCTTTTTTCCTTGCTTAGCAAGGCCTCTACCCACCAGACTGTTCAGTCAAAACATGGAAGGAACTGCCTCCTCTAGCATCTAACACCCGCTAGTCATGGGGTTTTGTCAGGTGGAATTTCATGACTTCTGCTTGTCCAGAGCATGTGCAGATAGAACTAGATACCTGTCCAGTCAGAGTACATCCTACAGCTGCAGGCATCAACACTGCATGTGGAGTAGGACTGCCAACTATGCATGTGCCATAAAATGGCAGTTATGTGGCTGGGTCACTGACATTTGGGTATGTAAAGTGAAATAAGATTCTGTCCAAGGAGTTTCATTTAATGCACATTATCCTGTTTCCATTGAAGTCAAATGAGAATTTTCCTACTGACTTCAGTTGGAACAAGACTAAGTCTTATAATGTATCTGAAAGATGAGGACTCCAGTTAGTTGCAGTTCCCCATTCCACTGCAATGGAATACTGAGTCAGTACAGGTTCAACAACACGACACCAGCTATTTATTCAGTACTGACACATAGGAAGTGTGCCACCAACTGAATCTTGAGCAGCACTACATTCGCATTTTCCTCCGTTGCCCTAACAAGTACAATGAGTAGGCCACCTCATGTAAAATTGAGAGACCTGACAAGATCACAGTTAAAGGTGGCAGAACTGAAAATCCTGCCTCAAATCCCCATTCACTGTATTCTTTTATATTCTACATGCACTTACTTCTGCAGCCTGAAACTACTTCCTAGTTATTGCTCTTAAGGACTACTCTTCTTAAGCGCAATAAGTGTTCATAGCCCTTAAGGACTATGAACATAAATTGCACACTCTTCTAAACTTCCATGAGTTGAGGAATCAGGACTATGGAGGTAACTATCATAGCAATACCCTGGACTCTCACATGGAAGGTCTAACCAACCATACTTCCACACTTCTCCAAATGTTAACTAATGTCAATTATTCTAAAAGTGAATTATTCTCTTACCTAAGTTTTTTAGCAGTGACAAAGGAAGAATGAGCAGTAAAGACACCAGTATAACCAAATAGTCACCATTTAGGTACCATTCACTGCAAGAGAAAATAAAATTAAATTTATTAAACTTTGTTATAGTGATGACATGCAAGGGCTAGTCCTCATTTATCTAACATGCTGTTCTATATAAATCAAAGCACCAATGTAGATACCCTGCAATGCTACCAAATACAAAGATTGCTTTGTGCTAAAATGTCATACATCAATGCAAACTGAACATTGAAGGTACTGCCTTTAAGATATTTGAGAATATTTTAGCTAGTTACAGAAAAAACTAATATTTAAAAGCACCTTTAGGAAAAAAGGTAATTCTAGCATATACTTTACTATCTGAATTTCACTCATTTCAGTTGAATACTATTTGAGTCAGGTAGGAGCAATATCCTACTTGCTACTACCATGCTTCCCAGTTCTCTTTTCTTCCCCAAAAAGAGCAAAAAAACCCCCCACAAAAACAAAAAAAACCACACACAAAAAACCAAACCCTTTATGTTGCCTCATTGCTCTCCAACCATACATACAGAGAAAGCTGATACAGCCTCTGGGGTATCTATCGCCTCACTGAGATAGCTTTGTGAGGTCAGGGAGACCATTTGGTAATTTGGCTCCACTGAGAGTTGCCAGCAGGTTGGGGAGAAGCTGCTGAGGGCCATATCTGAAGTTGAAACCCAAGACCTCTAGCTAGTTTACTTCTTCCACTTTGTTCTATAATCTTTCACATTCTATTAATGCTGGAAATAGTACTTTTAGATTCATAGAAGGACACACTATTATTATATACTATTTAGATAAAACAAAAAAAGATATATTGTTGACTTTGGCTGGATGTTTAAACGCCAAAAGCTGTATCTGGCTTTCTTGTAAAATGGGGTAAATAAGGAGTAATTTGAAGTCACCTAGGAGATAACTGAATTTAGCTGAAGCGATGGGGCCAACTTCTCTCACTTCTTTACCTGGGATACCTACACTTAAAAACATGCGTAAGAAATTCTCAAATTAGTGCAATTCAGATGTGTGTAAGATAAAGCTGAAGTACTAACAACTTTTGTTATTTTTTTTTGGAAAAAAGAGACAACATTCTGATGGATAACTTAAAAATAAACCAGATGACACCAAGTTTTAGCATTGGTCATAAGGATGCATATTGTTGCCGATTATGGACAAGTAGTAACAGACTTTCACATGTTAATGTAGAATACAGATGCATACTTTGAACGTATGCTGCAGAGCATAAAATTAAAGAGCATGCTGGAATAAATGAATTGGTATTTTTTAAAATTGCCACATTTTCTCCTTCAGTGCTGGCATATGATGAAATCTAATAAAAAAATTGAGGGAGTGGGACCCAGAACTCTTGTGTCCAGAATGGTTTATGGCTATGCAGGTGTGAATGCTTTTGTAAAAAGGTGAGAAATGGGCATTTGCAGCCCTTCAGGTGGGGAGGCATTTGCTCAAGTGGAAGACCCAAGGTTAAATGGTCTAATCACTAAATTATTATGAGGACTCCCCTTTCCCCTTCCGTAGCATTTTCTGGACTTGCACATCTAAATTCTGCCCAAGTTGGCACCATTTTTTTTTTTTTTTCCAATCTAACCCTAAAGTATTAGAATCTCTAGAAATTCATTTATCCCTCAGGTAATAAATATTTTCCATGATGTTAATGTTTGAAAATCATCTCATCAGTTCAAACTTCTGAAATACATTAGGATATAACAACTGTGACCAAATTTACTTTTCAGGATTAAGTAATATATTAGCTGGCATGTCTGGTAACACTTACCAGATAGTCTTACGTAACTTATTCCATAATATGATGCAAGATGCATATATAATTTTAAAAACATCTTTCCTAGTGGAGGCTGGATCCAGGGCAAGTGCTTGATATTGTCCTATCCTGAGTGGTTCAAACAAGAAAATCCTCACTGAAGCTCAGCAACGAGCTCTGTACCCTATTCAGAAGCTATACTAAAGTGTTCCAGAGGAGGTTTCCGTATAAAATGTATGCAACATCCATTTTTGTTTCTACTAATAGTTTGTCTGATGTGGAGTTCTAACACCTACCCTGTGCTTTCTTCAATGTTCATAAATGCCTTGATGACCAACGGTAACTCGTATTTCACTATGAAGAGGTAGCTTGACATAGCTGTAGGTGAAAAACATTACAGATCATTACAAATATAGAATAGATACATGATGCAAGAGCGCCACAAAACATGTTTCTTAGCTTTACTTGAACAAAAGTAGTTAAAGAAAACATGTTATGTGAAACAATAGTCTCTGAGAATAGAAAAAGGAACATTTATCACTGAAATAACAGGTATTTTTAAAAAGCCCTCACCTCCAATGTTCTGCATTGTAATTGATCCAGAAGCTGCAAGTTTTCCAGCTAAACCAAATGCCTTCAGTCCTAATTGTTCATATAATAAAGACCCTACAAAAGACAGTCAATTAGAAATTCTTATGTTACTAAAAAAAAATTGGATTAAGTCAGGAATATCTAGCAGTAAAAATATTAAGAATTTACTATACCTCCTTCATTGGCTGTCTTCAAGAGGAGGTGAACTGAATACAAAGAAAACACTGACACAAATATCAAGAGAATCCTGGGGAAAGAGAGGGAGAAGGAGCAAATTCCAATAAGTTTTAGACAGTCTCAATTCATTTAATGTAGCCCTATTTAATTAAGGATATTATTCAAATGAAAGGAAATTGAGCTAGAACAACCCCTCATCCCTGCAATTATATCAAATGCCATGCAGTCCAATCCAGAAAATTTAAACCAAAAATAAAAGTGCAAGTTCTTATGCTAGCTAAAAGTTCTGAGGAAGGTGCAATCAACTACTGTCTGATCTAGAAATATCATACTAAAAATCCATATCTGAATAACTAAAATAGTATAAACCGGGTTTAAACATGGGATTAAGGAATAATGGCATCAGTACAAGGGTCCCTTTTTACTGCAAGTAATGTGTATAGTAGTTTAAACTTAAAATGTGAACCAATTCCATTGTATTATGATTGTTCCAAGACATTAAATGCATTAAAAAAAATCCCTCTGTGTATTGTTTTGAGTTGCTCTAAGCAGCTGTTTTACTATTCTCTTATAGATCACCATGTTCAGCCCCGCTGAAAATCATGAAATGAATAGTATAGCTGACTAGGTACTTAGGTACACAGAATGGCCACTTGGAATGGTGATGAGGTAGTTCAGGCTCAATGCCCACTTGGTTTCTGGCTTGTATGCTGAAGCTGCCAGCAAATATGCCAATGATTACGTGAATACCAATTCGCTAAGAACTCAACTGAGACTACATCTTGCACAATCTGTTTAATAGCTATCATATAACAGTTTGAGTGGCCAAGGTCTGGAACGGGCTCCCAAGGGAGGTGGTACTCTCCCCTACCCTGGGGGTCTTCAAGAGGAGGTTAGATAACCATCTAGCTGGGGTCATCTAGACCCAGCACTCTTTCCTCCCTATGCAGGGGGTCGGACTCGATGATCTATTGAGGTCCCTTCCGACCCTAACATCTATGAATATATTAAGAAGTTACAATCACTATTATAACCAGGGCCAGATTTTAACAACTTTGCTATTAAAAGCTATTCGCAGTGTTATTAATCCTCTGAGCTGTGAACTCTTATTATTAGCTTAGTGATTACAAATCTTCTGGTACCATAACTCCTAATTGTACTGTATTTTGTAATAGCATGTGAATTAGTTTAGACTTCTCTCAGCAGTAATCCAAACCTGCTTCAAATAAATAATTTTGAGGGAAAAAATAATTAATTACTTAAAAAAAAAAAAGAAGCTAAATTTCATGATTTTGTGCTGAATTATTCAAATAACTGACTTTAAACTTGCTTCTATCCACCCTTTCTTTTCCCCGTCTTCACCAACTCCTACGAGATATCCTAGCATGCATTTTTCTGGTGACCTCATAACCACTGCAGAACCTCTCCAGAGCATGAAGTTGGCATATAAAAGGGTCAGATAAGTATCTGTTTACTATCTTAATGTATGACATATTTTTGCCAATTTTTTTTTTTTTTTTTAATTCCTGGAATTTTATGAAGTAATTAAACTTATTGTTTTGCTGAGAACTTTATCATGCCATATGTTAACAACCTCCCTTAAGCCAGCTTCACACACCAGTGGGTTTCTGTGGTAATTGTAATATTAGCAGCTAGTGCATGCTGGGACATCTTCTAATGGAAATCAGTGATCTACAACCTTGAGGAATCTGAGAAGACAAAAAAGCTAAACTTGAAGTGAGCTAGGTGATGAATATAGCTGACCCCCTTGTTTTTTTTAGGGCTGTGTGTGACTATTTATTTAGGGTAAATACTTCTCTTAACAGAGACCTACAACTATTTTTAAGACTAGTGTTCAATCACTTGATGACACATTGTATTAGACCGTACCAAAGCCAATATTAAAAAAAAAAAAAATCTTCTTTAAAGTACTCTAACTAATTTCACCATACCATACGCAATTATGCTACTGTACAAAGGCTGTGTCTACATTTGGTAGAGATATAAAAAAAACTGGGAGAGGTACCCTGCCAACACCCTCTAGTGGAGAGACCAGCAATAGGCTCCTTTGCTACTATAGCTTAAACCAGTTTCCAAACAGAGGAAGTGAAAAATGACACTTTTGCTGATGCAACTGTGTCTGTGCTAGGGCTTTTACTGGCACAACTATGTTAGCTCAGGAAGGATCACATACTGACTGGCTTAACTAGATCAGCAAAACTTTTCTGAGTACAGACCAGGACTAATGTGCAGGAAACCCCCCTCAAAACTATTCTTAGCTATTCTGCTCTATTAGCTGAACTAAACTTTAAGTCTATAAACTCCCGCTAAAGGTATCAGGAGAAATCCTGGCCCAGTATTAAATTGACAGCAAAATTCACATTCATTTCCAGGATTCTGTCTAATAATCTTTGAATGAAAAAGAATGTGGAATTGGGTCCTTAAAGTACATCTCCCTCCTTCATTACACAATGAAGTTTTAAAATCATTGTAATGATTAACACCAGGCCATAGCTTATCAAATAAAAAGGAAAACCGACTTTACCGATAGAACAATACAACTCATGTTTATGGATCTGTTAAAAGCTTAAGTCTTTGCAAGTTTCAGAATAGGCCAAAACTGCTACTGCGCTAATTGCTAAAGCAGCCAGTAAGTCCTCAAATGAATCCTTACATAACTGAATTTAGTGTCAGTTTTGCTGTCTACCTCCCTGAGGTAAGGATCTCAGCACTACTGCTTGTCTAATAATAATTATTGGGCAAATTAACACTTTTAATTTATCAAATGATACTTACACAAAGAGAGCAATTCCAGTGTTAGCCATGGCATAAGAAAGTCCAAGAATGCCACTACCCACAATTGCATTGCTCAGATTAAATACTGACATTCCAAAGGAAGTAGTACCCGGATGCTGTGGAAGAGGAGGCAACTATTAACAGAGAACCAGTTATTTTCCTTTTGATTTAAGAGAAAATGACTATGTATCCACCAAATTCTTAGTGTGCTAACTATAAAACGCTATTAACGCATACTTACATATTCCGTTTCATATTTCTTCTTTCCAAGATTGGATTCAAGTAAAAAATTTTGATTTTCTGGATCCATATCTACGTAATGGCTGTAAAAACCAAACAACAAAAATCTCTCTTTAATCATCATCACTAATGTCTTTTATTTTCACTGCTTTTAAAATTTATCAATGCTTTGTATTCCTTTTCGAGGGAAATCCAATCAATCAAAATTATCTATTAAATAAATATATACCATTGTATATTCAAATTTTTGTATTTGTAAGACATGCAAGATATGTAAACATTCACTGTCTTAAGCTCTAATGGACATTTTATGGTGCTGTACAAAATGTTATGGGTGGAAACAAAAACAACAGATGCAAAGAAACAAAAACAGACCCAAACCCTCTGACCTCTTCATAGCAGTTGGTTTGGTTGGGTATGAATAGCTGAAGTCATTGCTATTGGAGCTATAGCTGCTGCTGTCCTCATCTGGAGAGATGTTAAACTTGCCCATTTCTGCTTTGGTCATGGCAGAGATATTCAATACGCTTCCCTCAGTTATCAAATGAAATAAGGAGTCTTGAGGCCGATGCCCCTTCCGCGGTGGCAGCCGAGGTCCGCTCCCTCTTTTGTCCTTGGCTGCTGGACTTGCCTTGTCTGTGAAGGTAAAAAGGAAACGTCAATACTGCAGTGGTCTCTCGAGCTAGGTCACGTGGAGAGCTTCTGCTGCTGCTCGTTGGGGCTGATTCATCCCCAGCCAGGCGAGTGGAAAAGTACTAGCCGAGAAGGGAGGGGAGAGGAAAGGGGGGGCGGGGGGAGAGAAGAGGGGGACGAGAAGGAAAAGTACAAGACACTGGCTGAGGCATAGAACAAAGATAATCTCCAACTACAACACACAAGCACACGCCCGGAGATGTGATCTGAATATGCAAGGCTCTGCCTTTGTGCACTTGTATGTGGGGTTATCCCAGATGTGCCCTCTGGCTCACACAACAGCCCAGGGGGAAAGAAAGAAAAAAAAAAAAAAAAAAAAAAAAAAAAAAAAAAAAATCAAACATAGAAATCCAATGCTTGGAAGGCATTTGCCTCCAAAAGCAAATCCACCTTTGCGCGAGGCCAGTGAGGCTGCAGGGCGAACACTGCAATATTCAGCAGATTTTATGACAAAAATAAAGGTACACCCAGGTAACATGCTTTTTTTTTTTTTTGCTACAGCATTAAGACACGAGCGAGCGAGCGACGCCTAGAAGGGCAGCACCTCCACCCGGGGGCCCCTCCTATACAGACCAGGAACGAAGAACTGATGCAACATTGATGTGCGATTATCACATCGCCGGCTTCCGTGCTGCTCTCGTCTGTTTACCTCCTACTCCTCCCTCCCTCGACATGGGATCCCCGCATTTTAAATGGGAAAAAAATGCAGATCAGTCACAAGACTGCACCAGCAGCGTCTGGCCCCGCATTTTCCCTCTCCTTTCGCACGGAAACTAACAGCGGCGGGACCCAGTATTCGCCTTCCCCGCGCAGCCCTGCAGCCTCCCCGCGGGGCCCAGCAGCGGCTCCCGAGCAAAAGCCGGAGCAAGGCACGGCCAGTGGCGTCGCCCAGCCCAACCCAGCCCTCCCGCACCGCACCTCACCTCACCTCACCTCGGCTTGCGATGCCGTCCCGCGCGGGGCTTCCCTGGTCGCTGCGGCGCGGCGACACGAGCTCACGAGGCGTTTTTCAAGAAGGGCAGGGAAAACAAAAATCCTTGATGGCTGAGTAGGGGGGTTGGAAAAAAAAAAAAAAAAAAAGAAGAAAAGAAAAGAAAAGAAAGGCAGCAGGGACGGGCGCGCCACGGGAGGGGCGAGGCGGGAGCTGTGGCAATAGGCGGGCGTAGCCACTGCGC